GGTCTCTCTCCTGTGTGTACTCTCTGGTGTATAATAAGGTTTGACTTGTGAATGAAGGTTTTCCCACAGTCTAAGCATTTATAAGGCTTCTCTCCTAAGATTGTTCTCTGATGTGACATAAGCAGTGCCCACTGCCTAAAACCTTTCCCACACACAAGGCATTTATAGGGTTTCTCTCCTGTGTGCAGTCTCTGGTGTACAATAAGAACTAGCTTCCTACTGAAGCTTTTCCCACAGTCTAAGCATTTATAGGGCTTCTCTCCTGTGTGGGTTCTGTGATGTGACATAAGCTGTGACCTCCAATTAAATCTTTTCCCACACACAAGGCATTTATAGGGTTTCTCTCCTATGTGCAGTCTCTGGTGTGTAGTAAAGTTTGACTTCTCAGGGAAACTTTTACCACAGTCCAAGCATTTGTAGGACTTCTCTCCTGTGTGGGTTCTCCAATGTGTAAGAAGGTTTGCACTGAAATGGAATCGCTTCCCACGGTCAAGGCATTTGTAGGGTTTCTCTTCATTGTGACTTGTCTGCTGGACTGTGGTTTCCTTTAGATCCTTACATCCTCCGCCGCATTCAGTGAATTCATCTAGTTTCTTCCCGGCATAGTTTCCCAGCTGCATCTCTGATCTGTGTCGATCTCCCCAGGCATTTCCCTGCTCCAAGCACTGGGAAAAATTCTGTTCAGCTCTTCTCAAAAACCTCTCCTGCGATTCCACTTGCTCAGGACCTTCCTGTTGCTGATTCTCCTCCTTGTTCTCACTCACTGTCCTATCACCTACGGGGAGAGAAAAAATCCAATCAGGAGTCTCTGCCTGTGCTGGGGGGAAAGGACCAAAAGGGGAATAGCAAAGAGGGAAACCACAACACAGTGACTGTTGGGGAGATGGAGACATTTAATTCTGCCCCCACATCCCACCCAAACGCTCCCAGGGAAGTAAAGTCAAGGAAGAAATTCCCGACAGCTAACAGGATGGGTGGGAAGCCATGACTGATATTTGCCTTGATGATACGACACTTGCTGACTGCAGCCCTGACCTGGGTGAGACGGGGCAAAACTGGGGGCTCTCGCTCACGGCACATTTCGGAGTCCCAGCTTTTTCCTTCACTCGCCAGATGTTTCTGTGTCAGTTTCCCTGACTCCTCACCTGTGCAGGTGCCTCTCGGGCTCCCCCTTTCCTCCGGGGCCTGGAGATCCGGGGCCCACGGCTCTTCCCCTCGTTCCAGCCGGGTGATCAGTTCGGGTTTGGGAACGGGAAATCCTAATCAGGGAGTGAAATCAGGCAAGCTCAGGGCGCATGGAGCATTGGTAGAGTATTTGTCACAAGGAACATTCCCTGAGATTAACCTGACCCTACATGGGACTGTGGTAACTCCGACCCCTTGGGAGCAGCAGGGATCTGGGGGTGGGGTTTTTTTTTACTCCCTCACTAGGAGGTCTCAGGGTAGATGCGCTCTGGGGGACTTGCTGACACACACACAGCTCGGGTGTTAAACTCCTGCCTATTTCCAAACCTGCAGAACCTAGAGCCCTCCCCACGGATGGAGCAAGGTGAACAGTGTGTAGGAGAAATAATACAGACAGGGCAATACCCTGCTTCTGACCCCTGGACAGCTGGAGAGATGGGGATGAATTAGCCTGTCCATTCGGTTTCTGACTCTCCTGTTCCATTGAATGGGGGATGGAGATGCAAGTCTCTCACACACTGGCATAGGCGCCGACTTCCCCTCTTTTCTGTGGGTGCTTAACCCCCCGCCCTGCCTCCGGCCCCACCCCTGCCCCACTTCTTCCCACCCCTTCCTCTCCTCCATTTCAACCCCTTCCCCAAAGTCCCCGCCCCAACTCCGCCCCCTCCCTGCCCCTATTCTAACTCCTTCCCCAAATCCCCGCCTTGGCCTCGCCTCCTCCCCTGAATGTGCCAGGTTCCGTCCCCCCCCCACACCCCCGAGCGTGCAAGCAGCTGTTTGGCAGTGGCCGGGTGGGAAACGCTGCAAGATAGGTGGAGTGGGGACGCAGCATGCTCAGGGGAGAGGAGGAGGTAGTGCAGGGGAGCTTGGCTGCCATAGGGTGCAGAGCACCCACTAATTTTTCCCCGTGGGTGCTCCAGCCCAGGAGCACCCACGGAGTCGGTCGCATAGTCCAGGGTGGAGCTGTGGACTATGCGACCCTCCTCCTCCAATCTAACTGACCAGGGAAGAGCCTGACCAGATTCAGACATGCAGACCCCACGGCTTCCAATAGCTGAGGGCCCAGGAATCCCTTACCCAGCGAGGTCACTGTCTCATGGTTCTCCTGCATGACGTCCCTGTAGAAGGTTCTCTGACTGGGGTCTAGCAGAGCCCCCTATCCCTGGGTGAAATATACAGCCATCTCCTCAAAGGTCACCAGCATCTGAAAGATCAGTTCCCCCACTCAGCGCCTGCTGCCCCAGCCATAATCCCACTAGTCAAGGGGGAGGAGGCCCAGAAAAGCAGAATCCCACCCGCACCCTGCTCAGAGCAGCCAGGAGGCTTCAAGGGGTGGGGAGAAGGTGAGAACTCCTTGTGCTACCCAGCAGACAGAGCAGGGCAGGGTCTTCTCATTTCCCACACGCCTGCCAGCCACAGGCTGATGCAGGAAGCAGAGCTCTGAGCCAGGGACAGAGACAGAGACAGGAATCCCAACAGCCTCCCTTCGTATTTCGCAGCAGCCTCCGTCTAGTGGGGTCAGGCTCCAGCACTAGGAGTCTGGTCAGTTTTTCAAGCCCTGCCCAGGGGGGTGTTTCCTGTATCAGAAATGGGGGAATGTCCCCCCCTCCCCCAACCCGCCAATGGGCCTGTTCAGAAAATCAGGCTCCAAATTGAATGTGTCCCAGCAGGTTTATCACACCCTGTGTCCCCACCCCACCTCCTCCTGTGTGTTTCCTGCCCCTCCCCCTCTACAGCAACTCCCCCCTGCAGCCCCCTGAAAATCCCCTACCTGAGTTGGCTCCATCACAGCCATTTCCCTTCCCTGTCTCCTGAAGATGGGAAAATCTGGAGCAAAACGTGGGCATGATTCCTCAGCCTGTCAGGGCGAGAGGGGCGATGGGGGAAGTTTCAGAAGGGGCTTCAGTCCATTTCACACCCCGATTCCCCCCAGGCTCTCTCCCTGCAGACAGATGCCCTGGACTCTGCCATGCTGGGAAAACCGTCAGTCACTTTATTACAATACTGACCCGGCCCCTCCCACCAGCATTGAACCCCTGAGACACTTTTAACCCCCCCCACCAGGGACAGAGTCTCTGAGAGAAATGCTAGAAAAGAGCAGAATCTAAGGAGCTACTTTGGAGGATTCCCCCTGACATTGGCCCCGAGGGCAGTGTGTCTCCCCAGCAGTGCGTTGACTCGGCTGGGGCAGGACCTGGCTTTTTCTCTGTCAGCTCCTCCCCTTGTTCCCCGGAGAGTCAGTCGGCCCAGGGGGATGCAGGGAATGGATCCGGGCAGGGCTGGGAGCTGGGAACCTCCCTCCCCACTTCTTGCTCCTGCTGCCCCTTTCGGTCTCACCCCTCCCCTTCCTGTCTCCGTCCCTCTCCCCTCTGCCTGGGAGAACTGGTGCCTGTCCCGTTCCCATGGGCATTTGCTCTCCAGTGTGAGCCTGGCTGTGTCACTGAGGGCAGCAGCTCGGGGACCTGCAGGCATGGGGGAGCCCCTCCCCCTCCGGTACAAACTCACCAGCAGGTCCCTGAAAGACCCTTTCTGCAGAGCCATTTTCCTGCCTGGCCCCAGCCCTTTCCCCCGGGTCTCTCCTATCACCTGCAGGCTCCATCCACCTGAGAAAGTTGTGTCCCGCCCCCCTCCCCCCTTGGACCCAGAGGGGGGTTAATGAAGGTCTCTCCTTGGCAAAGATCCTGGTGGGGGAGCAGCAGCTGCTCAGTCAAAATCGAAGTGCAGATCAAAATGCAGGAGGCAGCACCAATTAACTCCCGGGCCCTAATATCATGGGTAAGGCTCCCTTAGAGTCACGGATATTTTTAGTAAAACTGATGGACAGGTCACGGGCTGTCAACAAAATTTCACGGCCCATGATCTATCCACGACTTGTACTATACCCCGGACAAAATCTTGGGAGTGCTGTGGGTGCTGGTGGGGGAGGCCATAGGTGCTGGGGAGTACGTGGGTGGTCAGTGGGGTGGCCCGGGGGGGGAAACTGCGGGTGCTGGGAGTTAGCAGCCCGGAGGGCTCCGCGGGTGCTCGGGAGAGAGCAGCCCAGGACCCCCGCTGTTGCTGGGGGGCGGGGCTAGCAGGGCTCCCAGGTTCCCTACCCGGCTTCTCAGAAGCGGTGACATCTCCCTCCCTAAGCTTCTAGCTTCCATGACCTCCATGGCAAACTCGCAGCCTTAATCATGAGCAGACAGAGACAGACACCAGCCTCCTCTGCCTTAGCAGTAACCAGCCCCACCAGCCTCCATTATGAGGACAATTCAGCAGCATTTGCCCATCTGGACTCACACCGGAACAGAACCAGAGAACCAGGTTGAACCGATATGCTTAACTGAACTGGAACCAGACTTAAACCATCATTTTTCCTCTTCCTCGGTGAACCTGAATCTGAATTGAACTTGGAAAAAAATGGCTACCTGTTGAAATCAAGTTTCAGCAATTTTTCAGCTCAATATTTGACAAAATAAAATAAAACCTACTCTGATCTCACTCATTATAAACAAGACACCAAAACAACCCCCAGGCATGTGATCGCTACCGGAACGGCCTGTCCCAGTAGGAGAAGAGAAGGGGGCAGCCCACAGGAGGAGGGAGGGAGGGAGGAGAAGAGAAGTGGGGGCTCCCTGTCCCAGAAGTTAACATTAACTCTTCAAGCCAAGGAAAAAGGCTGCTCAATTCTTCTTCCACTTAGACAGGCCTCCTCTCACCCGCCCTCACCCCTTAGGGCAGCTTCTCCCTCTAATTGCCCCACCTGAGGCAGGCTCCATGCCCCAAATTCAGTTCCACACTGAAGCAAGCCACAGGGCTCCCTCCCAACCCGAACCCTAACCAGAACCGAATACATCGACTGCCACTGTACCCGAACCAAACCCCAATTCTACTCCTTGTGTCTAGCAGTGACTCTGGTTGGACATCGAATCCTGCGCAGAAATCAGACCAGCCCCTGTTCAGTGCTGTCATCCCAGGAGTCAGACCCCCGCAAATAAGGAGATTGTCTTTAAACACAAATATGAAATTGGAAGCAGGGTGTGTGCGTGTGGGGGGGATTTTGGGTGGACATTTGCCTGGTAAATTCTCAGCCTTTCAGGGTAAATCTCCTGCCCGCCCCCATCTCTGGGTGACCACCTTTTCTAAAGGCAAAAGTAGGACATGTGAAGGAGCCCCGCCCCTCCTCTCCATGAGGCCACGCCCCCTGCTCCTCCTCTTTCCCCTGAGGCCCTGCCCCTGGCCAGACCGGAAGCCAGGCCGAAATAACACCTGCACAGGGAGCCCGGGCCACTGCAAGGAGCCCCGGACCCTCCACCTGCCCTTGGCAGGGGGCTGGAGTGCCAATTAGGGTGACCAGGTGTCTGATTTTGGACCAGAACACCCGGTCGAAAAGGGATCCTGGAGACTCCAGTCAGCACCACTAGCCGGCCGTAGACTGGTGCCGTGCAGCAGGGCTGGCAGACTCCTTGCTAGCCTCCGCGCCACGCCGCTCCTGGGAAGCAGCCAGCATGTCCGGCTCCTAGGCTTAGGGACGGCCAGGGGGTTCTGCGCACTGCCCCCATCTCCCACCCACAGGCGCAGCTTCCAGTGGCCGGCTGGGTCAGGGCAGGGGACGAACTAGCCCCACTTGTGAGCGCTCAGCAGGCGGCTGTCGAGGGATCATGGCGCGCGCTTCTCCTGCTGCTGCCGGCCCTCTTCTCCTCGCGCTCCTCCTGTGGCTGGGCTCCAGCTACGGCACGTGCCCCTGCAGCGACCCCGCGGTCTGTGGCCCCATCGCCAGCACTGAGGAGTTCGAGGTATAGATCCTCGTCTCCGAGTGCTGGGAATGGGGCTGCTGGAGGGGAGGGGAGGAGAACGAGACCAGGGCTGGTCTTGTGGGTGAGAGGGGAGAAGGGACCTGAGCTGCAAGGGGCAGTTGGATGACCAGCCGAGCTAGGTGACTTCTCAGGAGCAGGGGTGCCCCTCCTCCCCCATGCTCCACTGCCATGTGCAGCCACCGCTGCTCCTGTCCCCCGCCTCCTTCCTCCCCAGAGCCCCCGGCCTCTCGACTGGGAGCGTCTTCCTCTCTGCTGTGCAGGGTGGGGGGAGGCTGATGTTGGGGTGTCCCGCTCCCATGTACCCGATTTCCACTAAGCTGGGGTGACAGGACAGGGGGAATCTGTGTGTGCTGCTGCCATGGACAGCGAGTTCTATGGGCCCGTGGTGCCCAGGCTCCGCCACTGTATGAAGCCAGGTCTCTCCCTTGGCCCCACCTTCTGCCCCCGAGCGCCCCGCCCCAACATCCCCCGGGCCATTTAAAACAGACCGGGACCACCACTCACCACCGGCAGGGCAAGGGAGCCGAGTGGCTTCCCGCCCGCCCCCCCCACCTGGCTGCCCCGCCCCCCCCCC